AGATCAGACCAGTAACAGACAGAACCAGTAAAAGACTGAAAATCAGACCAGTAACAGACACAACCAGTAACAGACTGAAAATCAGACCAGTAACAGACAGAACCAGTAACAGACAGCAGATCAGATCAGTAACAGACAGAACCAGTAACAGACAGAAGATCAGACCAGTAACAGACAGAACCAGTAACAGACAGAAGATCAGACCAGTAACAGACTGAATATCAGACCAGTAACAGACTGAATATCAGACCAGTAACAGACTGAATATCAGACCAGTAACAGACTGAATATCAGACCAGTAACAGACTGAATATCAGACCAGTAACAGACTGAATATCAGACCAGTAACAGACTGAATATCAGACCAGTAACAGACTGAATATCAGACCAGTAACAGACTGAATATCAGACCAGTAACAGACTGAATATCAGACCAGTAACAGACTGAATATCAGACCAGTAACAGACTGAATATCAGACCAGTAACAGACTGAATATCAGACCAGTAACAGACTGAATATCAGACCAGTAACAGACTGAATATCAGACCAGTAACAGACTGAATATCAGACCAGTAACAGACTGAATATCAGACCAGTAACAGACTGAATATCAGACCAGTAACAGACTGAATATCAGACCAGTAACAGACTGAATATCAGACCAGTAACAGACTGAATATCAGACCAGTAACAGACTGAATATCAGACCAGTAACAGACTGAATATCAGACCAGTAACAGACTGAATATCAGACCAGTAACAGACTGAATATCAGACCAGTAACAGACTGAATATCAGACCAGTAACAGACTGAATATCAGACCAGTAACAGACTGAATATCAGACCAGTAACAGACTGAATATCAGACCAGTAACAGACTGAATATCAGACCAGTAACAGACTGAATATCAGACCAGTAACAGACTGAATATCAGACCAGTAACAGACTGAATATCAGACCAGTAACAGACTGAATATCAGACCAGTAACAGACTGAATATCAGACCAGTAACAGACTGAATATCAGACCAGTAACAGACTGAATATCAGACCAGTAACAGACTGAATATCAGACCAGTAACAGACTGAATATCAGACCAGTAACAGACTGAATATCAGACCAGTAACAGACTGAATATCAGACCAGTAACAGACTGAATATCAGACCAGTAACAGACTGAATATCAGACCAGTAACAGACTGAATATCAGACCAGTAACAGACTGAATATCAGACCAGTAACAGACTGAATATCAGACCAGTAACAGACTGAATATCAGACCAGTAACAGACTGAATATCAGACCAGTAACAGACTGAATATCAGACCAGTAACAGACTGAATATCAGACCAGTAACAGACTGAATATCAGACCAGTAACAGACTGAATATCAGACCAGTAACAGACTGAATATCAGACCAGTAACAGACTGAATATCAGACCAGTAACAGACTGAATATCAGACCAGTAACAGACTGAATATCAGACCAGTAACAGACTGAATATCAGACCAGTAACAGACTGAATATCAGACCAGTAACAGACTGAATATCAGACCAGTAACAGACTGAATATCAGACCAGTAACAGACTGAATATCAGACCAGTAACAGACTGAATATCAGACCAGTAACAGACTGAATATCAGACCAGTAACAGACTGAATATCAGACCAGTAACAGACTGAATATCAGACCAGTAACAGACTGAATATCAGACCAGTAACAGACTGAATATCAGACCAGTAACAGACTGAATATCAGACCAGTAACAGACTGAATATCAGACCAGTAACAGACTGAATATCAGACCAGTAACAGACTGAATATCAGACCAGTAACAGACTGAATATCAGACCAGTAACAGACTGAATATCAGACCAGTAACAGACTGAATATCAGACCAGTAACAGACTGAATATCAGACCAGTAACAGACTGAATATCAGACCAGTAACAGACTGAATATCAGACCAGTAACAGACTGAATATCAGACCAGTAACAGACTGAATATCAGACCAGTAACAGACTGAATATCAGACCAGTAACAGACTGAATATCAGACCAGTAACAGACTGAATATCAGACCAGTAACAGACTGAATATCAGACCAGTAACAGACTGAATATCAGACCAGTAACAGACTGAATATCAGACCAGTAACAGACTGAATATCAGACCAGTAACAGACTGAATATCAGACCAGTAACAGACTGAATATCAGACCAGTAACAGACTGAATATCAGACCAGTAACAGACTGAATATCAGACCAGTAACAGACTGAATATCAGACCAGTAACAGACTGAATATCAGACCAGTAACAGACTGAATATCAGACCAGTAACAGACTGAATATCAGACCAGTAACAGACTGAATATCAGACCAGTAACAGACTGAATATCAGACCAGTAACAGACTGAATATCAGACCAGTAACAGACTGAATATCAGACCAGTAACAGACTGAATATCAGACCAGTAACAGACTGAATATCAGACCAGTAACAGACTGAATATCAGACCAGTAACAGACTGAATATCAGACCAGTAACAGACTGAATATCAGACCAGTAACAGACTGAATATCAGACCAGTAACAGACTGAATATCAGACCAGTAACAGACTGAATATCAGACCAGTAACAGACTGAATATCAGACCAGTAACAGACTGAATATCAGACCAGTAACAGACTGAATATCAGACCAGTAACAGACTGAATATCAGACCAGTAACAGACTGAATATCAGACCAGTAACAGACTGAATATCAGACCAGTAACAGACTGAATATCAGACCAGTAACAGACTGAATATCAGACCAGTAACAGACTGAATATCAGACCAGTAACAGACTGAATATCAGACCAGTAACAGACTGAATATCAGACCAGTAACAGACTGAATATCAGACCAGTAACAGACTGAATATCAGACCAGTAACAGACTGAATATCAGACCAGTAACAGACTGAATATCAGACCAGTAACAGACTGAATATCAGACCAGTAACAGACTGAATATCAGACCAGTAACAGACTGAATATC